TGCTCCAGCCTGGAGGAGTACAAACAAATAGGATGTTTCCTGAAGAACAACAACGTGGACTTCTTCACGCATGATCTGCCATCGAGCAAGCCACTGAAGGTGGTTTTGCGTGGGTTACCGTCGTTCGAGGCGACTGTGGTGAAATCCGAGCTGGAGCGGTTGGGGCTCAAGCCTGAGGTAATGTACCCGATGAACCGGCGTCCCAACCAAAACACCCGCTTCCGTGACCAGTTGTTCCTGGTGCACTTCACGAAGGGATCCACCAGTCTTGCGGCTCTGAGATCCAAAATCCGGGACCTGTTTCAGGTCATCATCAGTTGGGAGCATTACAAACCCCAACATCGTGATGTAACGCAGTGTATGAACTGCCTCTCATATGGCCATAGCACCAAAAACTACCACATGAAGACAAACTGCGCAAGTGTGCTGGAACTCACTCAGCTGCGTCCTGTGAGCAAGTCGATGACATCGAGCCAACGTGTTAACTGCGGTTGAAACCACCAAGCCTCCAATCGCGGGTGTCCCAAGCGAGTGGAGTTCAATAATATCCGTCGGAAGGCCACAATCAACAACCAGCTCGGTTGCCTTCGTAATCATCGTTCGCCTCCTGTACTCACGGAAGTCCAGTACCGTCGACATGTTCCGAACCTAGCCCCGCATCCGCTCAACAACCAACAAGCCAATCCTGCGAGTATCCAAATGGTTCCCACCAGTCGGACAGTTCAGCATCGTCTCGCTGCTGCTGCGGCCCAGCAAGCTTGGGGCAACGGTCCGAGCAATAGAAACGGCATCATCCTCAATGAAAACCTGCAAGAGCGCCACTATACAATCTTGGCCCCGGACTCTCCCACCCGATTGAGCCGGTCTGGGGTCCATGCGACCATCGACATCTTCGTAAGCAACATGGAACACAACATCTCGCAACCTGTGGCATTCCAGGAGCTGAGCTCGGACCACTACCCGGTGGTGGCCGAAGTTGGATCCTCGGTTAACCGATTCGAAGCTTCCCGGCGCAACTACCATCGAGTCAACTGGGCGCAATATCAACACAGCGTCGACACAACCATCGACTACGATGTCCAACCGGGGACGCCCGAAGATGTTGACCGGTGTCTACAAACCATCGAGAAGGCGATTTCCCGGGCCACTATCCAGACAGGTGAGTAACACTCTGAACCTTGACAGCCCTACCAAAGATCTCATTAGACTCCGTAACACCATCCGAAGGCAGTACCAACGCTCTGGTCTGCCTGTCCTTAAGACCAACTGTAATCGCCTGGCAAAAAACCATCCAAGCCAGGATGGTGGACCTCAGAAATAACGATTTTCCCAGATTGTGCTAAGCCCTTCTGGAAACTTACAAAAATTCTTAAAAACAAGTCTAGGCCCATTCCACCACTGACCCCACTGGATCGTCCCGGCGACCCAGTGGTTCATCTGATAACTCCTGAAGAGAAGGCTGCCGCGATAGGTCAACACTTCGTCAGCTCCCATACCATAATCTCGGACAAAACATCGTCAGCCCTCATGAATCTGAGGTTGTTGAAAATGCAACCAATCTTCTTCAGATTCCTAAAATTTTTCCAGAGGAATCCGAGATTACGGATGACGAACTGTTTACCTATATCAAATCTTCTAAAAACATGAAGGCCTCAGGTTTCGACAACATCCTGAATCTGGAAGTCAAACACTTGAGTTCCAGATTCTACAACCATCTGGCACTGATTTTTAATATGTGCCTTCGACTTGGCTACTTTCCCTCGTGTTGGAAGTCAGCTAAAGTCATACCCATCCGGAAACCTGGGAAGGATGCATCCTCTCCTTCAAGTTATCGACCAATCAGTCTTCTCTCAGGGTTATCAAAACTGTTCGAAAGAGCAGTGTACCACCGGCTCCTAACATCTGCCGATGAAAACAACTTGTTACTCGAGGAACAGTTTGGTTTTCGGAAAGGTCGTTCGACCGTCCACCAGCTGACTCGAGTAACAATTTTTCTCAGACGGAACAAGTCTGTTTCGAAAACATCTGCCATGGCGTTGTTGGACGTTGAAAAAGCATTCGACAATGTCTGGCATGATGACCTATTGTTCAAATTGCAGCAGTACGGTCTTCCAATATTCCTAGTGAAGATCATAAACAACTATCTATCAGACAGGACGTTCCGAGTCTCTCTGAATGGCATCACATCGGATGCTTTCAATATCAGTGCCGGGGTTCCACAAGGAAGCATCCTTGGCCCCATCCTATTCAACCTGATCATCTCTGATATGCCGGCTCTCCCTGATGGTGGATCGTTGTATCTGTTCGCAGATGACACATCCATCGTCTACAAGGGTAGGGTAATCGGAGCTCTGACTGCCAAACTTCAGAGAGGCCTGGACGTCCTGTCTGAATACTTCAACAGCTGGAAGATCCGTATCAACGCGGCAAAGACCCAGGTCATTATCTTTCCACACTCTAAATCTCCCAGACTTATCCGTCGGAGAATAACAAGATCTGCCTGAACGGCACAGTGGTGGAATGGTCCAAAGAGGTCGTGTACCTCGGGCTAACACTAGACAGCAGGCTTCTTTTCAGGGAGCACGTTGACAAAACGAAAACCAAGTGCAACATCTTGATAAGATCGTTGTATCCACTTATCAACAGGAAGTCAACCCTGTCCCTGAAAAATAAGCTTGCTGTCTACAAACAAATCATCCTTCCTGTAATCGAGTACGGTATGCCAATCTGGGAGAGTTGCGTAAAATGCCATCACCTTAAACTCCAAAGGATCCAGAATAAGATCCTTAGGATGGTCCTAAACAGTCCCCCGCGAACTAGAAATTCTGAGATCCACCAAACCTGAATTCAGACTTTAGAAGAACGGAGAGTATCCATCCTGGAAAGGTTCAGAGACACCTGTCTGAGATCAAATCATCAGATCATACGTAATCTAGTTCGTTAGGTTAAGTTATACTCGTAGTTAGGTAGGTTATCACTTTTTCAATTAATCATATTGTCGAGCAGTTTTGGGACGAACTTCTACCAGCGATTTTACGGAAATGAAACAATCAATTTCAGATTTTTCAAGCATTTTACAAATAAGACCCTATTTTCTCGAGGTTGTAGAAGAAAAAATATTAAAATATTGTTCCACGTTAAAGTTCGAGTGGTAGGAAACGTCATTTTAAACTGCTCGAATGATGTGATCCATTCAAATAAAACAAATCCTCAAAGGGGTATTCTGTTAACTAGTTGAAACACGCAAATATTAAATTAGAATATCAAATTAAACAAAGATGAAGAGCCAGATAGGCTAATCAATTAATATGATAAATCAATGTACTACAATAATCAACAGAAATAAACATAATTTTACTACTACTACCATGTGGGTCATTCTCCATTCTGAAGCTAAAAAGGTAGCATCTACTTCAAAAGCAGGAATAATATCCAACCGACCGAACGACGGTACCAAGGCAACCCGGCAGCACCAGCAAATCAGTCACGCAACCAACCGACCCAACGACGAGCAAGTGAGCCCTCTCCTTCTTCTGGAAGTGAGAGTCCCCAAGCGAGCCCTCTGTCGACGGTAACCAAGGCAACCACCGAGTACCGATCAGCAAACACCAGTAGCCTACTACGATCGTGAACTTGGCACGGAAAGCCCTATTATTTGAATAAGTAGCGCAATCCAGCCAAATCTCGAGTAGGATGATACCCAGTTACGACAGGTGTTATTCCGAGACCCCAGAGACACAAAAAACATAAGCCCAGAAACAACTGCCAAGTTCGGCAAGTATCAACTCCCGGTGGTCACTATTATGCGATACTTGGGAGCATACCCGAGCAAAGTCGGTTAACAAAATGAAAGCAAATCGATATTAAAGTTTGCAGTTCCTATCATAATGAAAATTCATTTTGATTTCAATTGTCGCGACACAAGTCTGATTTCATATTGTGCTTTCATTAGGCAGTCAACTAACTAACTTAACTAGAAGTTCTGCTGTTAATTTCTTGTTAAAAATCTGATTTAAGTTCATCGTTGAACTAACGATTACTGTTTATTTGTTTTGTTTAACACATTTTAGATCATTCGTGACAAAACCGAGGTGAGATTTGAGATCCAGTATTTCGGCGTGAAAAGCATGGATGATTACCATTTACGCCAGGTCCATATTCAGTTAAACATTATGAATGCAAAATCAGTAATCAAATTGATTTCATTGAAAGCAGGATTAGTTTTCCGTTTGATTCAACAGTGTAAAATGTTGCTCTCATTTTTGCTGTGTTAACCGTTAAGTCAACCAAGATGAGATCGAATGGAGTATTCAAAATAATTTACATCATTACAGCAAATTCTGATTTCAATTTGATCTCTAACTTTGCTCGGGTACTTGACCAGTAATATTACGAGGGGAGCTTTATCTTCAGAATGCATAAAAAGGCGTACAAAGCATATCATCATCTGTGTTCTTTCCTCAAGCAACACCCTCTTAAATGGAGCGTAGTAAGAAAGCTTTACCATTGTCTAATTACTTCAGTGGTAACGTACTCCAAGGAGGTTAGCACAATAATCCAATGTGTAAATTTTATGATGGGATCAAAGTATGTTAGATGGACATTTCCATTTCCTGATCTCAGTGAGTGAAATTCCAAAGAAACATGTTGAAGATCAGGTATGATTTCAAAAATATCGAAAAACATATTTTTGGAACTTTCTATCCACAATATTGAACCGAATCCTGGAGTTATTTTTCACATGTTTATCCCTTTTCAAAAATAAAAGGCTATGTAATAGCGAATTTGTGATATAGGTTGCCCTCTTTGAACTAAATTTTGGAACATATTCCAGAAAATGTCTGCATGAGGAATAATTCATCCAAACCGGTGTCCACAAGTTGCCGTAATTCAACACTCTTAAACAAAAGAACCGAACAAAACAACCGAAATCGATGGATGGTTAATACTGAGCGGCATAAGAATGACACTAGCGTTAGTAGAATTAGATCGACAATTACCTTCAAGGGGATTTACGAGACCGGAGCTGGTCCAGTCGAACTGCACTGCCGGGACATTTCCGGCAACTGCACCCGGGGCCAGCGGTGCAGCACTCGAAGGCTGCAGCGGATCTAGGCCGAATGCAACATGACTATGAGCAGGATGATGCTTACTAGGTGGTTCCTGTTTGGCAGCGCTGCTGCTGCTGCTGCTGATGCTACTACTGCTGGTGTTTGCTATCGCCGCACTACTGCTGCTACTATTATTATTATTATTAATATTACTGGAACTGGCAGCGACCGGTTTGATCGGTTCCAACGGACTAAAGCTAAGGTTTGCCGCAAACCGTGGCATCGAACTGTTCCACTTTGGTCCGAAGAGCTACAAATGAAGATGGGTTTAAAGTTACTTTCCTTCTAGGAACCGACTAGATGCGGTACTCACAATGTTCCTGGAATCGATCCCAAGTGCCCGGATGAGAGATTTGTTGCTTTCGGAGTTGTTATACTGATAGCTCAGCGCTTGCGCCGAATCCATATCGTTCAGTTCGTTGTACACCTTGTTACGCAGGAGCAGATCTACCCACGGCACCTGGCCAGTGTCATCTTTATTCTCATCGCCGTAGGATGGAAACATTTCGCTTATGATGGTCAAGATGCTTTCCGCCTTGAATAGCGCCGACCGTGAAGTTGGAACAATAGGTGCAGCAGCAACTGGCGCTACTTCCGATTGTTTAAAATCGCTAAATTCACCAAAATCGTCATCGTCTTCGTCATCATCAAAGGATGGTTCCGAAATGACTTTCGCAGCCTCCTCCTCTACAGGTTTGCTACTCTTTTCCGTTTCAGAGGGAAACTTTGCAAACTCCTGGAAATCATCAAAGTCATCGTTTCCAAAGTCATCTTCGTTCGGTGCTTCCGGGGTGGATTTTTCCTCCGAATTTGTCACTTGTTTGGCAGAGGCGTCCTTAGGGATACTTCCGGGATCATCGAAAGTAGCCGGGAATGATGCTTGGAATGAATCGAATTTACTAAAATCGGCATCAAATGTGGCAAAGTCGGTTTTACTTTGCGACACGAAATTGCTATCCGCTGACGGGGTGGATTCAAGATGAGCAAAATCATCGTCAAAGGATACGTCGTTGGCTGTTGGCACTTCCAGGACTACAGACCGTTCGTTCGAAGCGGTCGTAAAGTCGGTAAAATCGTTTTCTGTATTGTCGTCAAACCGACAGCAATTATCTTCTGCTACGATAGGTGTAATTGCGGCTTCTGGTACCGGTTCCGGTTCCGGTTCGGGTTCTTCCACTTCCGGTTCTTGAGGCGATGAATCCCGTTCGCTTGTTTCATTTTCAGACAACTGTACCGGGGTGGCAGATTTGGAAACTTCCGTATCCAGGTGTAACGAAGGCAGGCTGATGTTGTCTTCCGCCCCCGGAGGAGTACCAGTTTCTTCTTGTGGTGGGTGGAAAGCAAAGTCCTGAAATTCATCATCACTTGGAACGTCATTCTCGGAGAAATTATTCTGCGACAGTATCAACGACGGTGGACTTTCATTACGGGGTTGCTCCAGTTCTGTATCATCCGGAACGTCTTCTATCACAGCCTGAGGTGGAATCGGTGGTGAAACGTCCTTTTCCTTTCGAGGACTTCCTTCCACTGACGGTGACTTCCGCACCTTCCGAATAGGGGAATCAAAATCGGGCAACGGAGGTGGTACAGGTGTTGGCAAATCTTCATTTTCGGCAGCAGCTGGTGCAGAACCGAAATCATCGAAATCGTCCTCCGGGTCAGGCAAATCCACTTCATCCTCCTCCTCGTCATCGAAATCCATCGGAGGCGGAGTATGACAAACCAGTGGGGGAATTTGACTAGACATTTTGCAGTGACCTTGAAATTTCCCCTGTTTCTACACCTCGTAACGATGAATCACAACAGGAGCCAGCACCTGCAAGTTCGGAAATCGCCAATTAAAACCATCCAAATCAACCAATCAACAAAGAAAATTACCTTCCTGAAATTAATTCCAACCACCTATCATATGACGTTTCCCAGACTCGCACACAGCAAAATTTTCCAGATTCTCTTTTTCAACTGCTGCTGCTGCCAACCAACCAATCGATAGTGATGGAGCTGTTCGAGAATGGAGCAATACTTTTTCCACCTTGTTTCCAAAACCACTAATCTCCCGCAACTTCCGCCAGAAATCGACGGATATCGTCACTACCTATTGTCAAGAATTTCACTCTTTTCTCTGCGCTGCGTGAGGAATCAATTAAAGGTTCCGTTCCAGGTAAATTCCGTTTTCTCGATAGGGAAAAAAATATTACACTCCTCTGCTGCTGCACAGCAACACACCTGTGTTGTTCCTTGTTCCTCTTTCTTCTCACTGGCAATGCTCTGCTAGCTCACTACACTACAGAATGGAGTATAAGGTTTCATGAATGACACATAACAGTTAACACGCACACCACCATGCAACAGAAGAGCAACGGTTTCGTGTGTGAGCGGGCGGGGGCGTACAAGTCGAAACGGAGCTGACAAAGTAGCTCGGACGCAGCCAGCTGTGGGCAGTGGTGCCAGCTTTTATGTGAGTTATGCTACGTTCAGACAGATTTTTTATAATCACTTTAATTAAGGCTGTGTTCCATTTGGTGAATTTTCACTTAAATTTTACAGATGGAAAATTTTCAAATAAACCTGCTAATAGCCGGCGCTGGTGGTGTGACTGCTTTCTCACCCCAATAGGTCAGGGTTCAATCCCAGCCGAGGTCGGTGGGATTTTTCTAAGGCATACAAACATAGAGGTAACTCTAAAGGCCGTCGCACAATGCATACGTTTTCGGGTTTTTTGACAGATAATGCATGGGCTAACTGTCAAAAAACCTGAAAACGTATCCATTGTGCGCCGGCCTTAAGACTAGTAGGTCCCGAAGAAACGTGCTCAACTTTTTGGCTCAGCTCTGGTACTATCCTAACTCTGGCTCAGCTCTGGTACTAGACCCCCTCTGGCTACGCCTATGCTTGCTATTGAACGATGTGCCCCCACCTCATAAACTCAGCAACGCAAAGGCTTTCGGTGAAATGGCATTCGGCCAAATTTTCCAGCAGTTTTGGAGTGACTTTCAGCGATTTCACAAAACTGGACCAACTAATTTCTATTTTTTATGAAACGCACAAATGTTGGCTACTTTTCTCATGGTCCTAGAAGAAAAAAATTCAAAATAATGTTTTATATCAAAGTTCGAGTGGTAGTAAACGTCATTTTAACTGCTCGAATGAAGTTAAAATGACGTTTATTACCACTCGAACTTTGAAATAGAAGCACGAGAAAAGTAGCCAACATTTGTGCGTTTCATAAAAAATAGAAATTAGTTGGTCCAGTTTTGTGAAATCGCTGGTAGAAAGTCACGCCAAAACTGCTTGACAAAGTGGTCATTTTATCCAATCTACTGCTAGATTTCTCAATAGGTTATGGGTCGTTACTCTTGGAGGTTTCTAAAAGATTGATTTGACTGCGACAATGGACGGAAGCAAGTTCTGCGTTGAGAAGCTACGAAGCGGAGGCTACGAAAGCTGGCGATTTAAAGTGGAGATGTTGCTGATTCGTGAAAATCTGTGTAGGCATGTTTCGGAGGCAACCCCAATCCTCTGACGGACGCATGGATGGAAGCAGATAAGAAAGCCCGTTCCACAATATACACATCACAACACGGCAGTTCATTTGCAGAATCTTTTGCCATCACGATCACTGGAGAAGACCCGCGCAGGTTCGGATGTGCTGCGTTCGTTCACGTGCCAGGAGTGCGACGAACCAAACTGGAACCGAAAGCAATCAAGCTCACGTTCGTTGGTTATTCGGACCATCACAAAGCTTTTCGATCAGCGGCGCCGGTGGTGTAGTGGTAAGCGTGATTGCCTCTCATCCCAAAGACCTGGGTTTAATCGCAGTCAATCCCAATCCCAGTCGCTGGGATTTCCTGAGGCATAAAATCTCTGATCACGGCTTCCTTCGGAAGGGAAGTAAAGCCGTTGGTACCCGGTTCATGAGTTGATGGGTCGATAGATAGGATCCAGATGTGGGAGCTATCTTCCTGGCGTCGGTATCATTGGTGCTCCGCACCGAAAACAAGATCGACGGAAAACAAATCAAGGAAAAAGCTTTTCGATTCATCAACCAAGCTACCAATTAAATCGTGATCTGCAGAGACGCTCGATTCATGGAGGATGAAGTAGCGGTTGGTCAAGATTGTCAACCAACTCCGGCAGTCGTGGAGTACGAGTTGGTAATACCACAAGATACAAACGAAGATGATGATTACGAAAGCACGTTTGAGGAGAAGGACGAAATCTGCAAATGAGAAGAAGATCCGACGAAGAAGCAACACCTCGAAGCTCAAGCTGCAGCACGGAGGGAACGTTACCACAGCGGTACCGTGAAACTCAGTGTTCGGATGAACTTTTTGATAGTTCAGTAACTGTCTTAGCACTTAGATTTTTTTTTCGATAAAAGTAATTTTAAAAATTCCGAGATTTAATTTGAAAATTGTCGAGGAAATACGCGGAAAGGATGTTGTTCACGCACATTGCAGAAGTGTCCTATACATCTCAGTGCCGTTTAAACAATTATAGAGAAAATCTACCCAAGAGACTAAGTTCACGTAAACAGTACCACTGAACTTGCGATTAACCCTGGCGGCGCAAAACCTTATCCTTATACATTTATGATCGCGGGTTTTTTCACAAATTACAAATATACACAGCGAATGAGAACGACCCAAATTTGAGTTTAGTTCACTCATAATCGCCAAAAGTGCAGGAACTCAGCGTTGAATAAATTTGCCTCGTGTTTTCTGTGGAAAACCTTAAAAATCTTCCGGAAAATGAGGAAAATTGACGAAAATTTATTTATTTTATCTACAACAAATAATATACTGCCCCTGTATGCTCCCTTCTACGAGTTTTCTGATTCTTTAAACCTGAAAGGAAAATTTGAATATGATCTAAATGTTTTCATCAATTCATGTAATCACAGCCTTACTTGCACTTGGTGCACGTGAAGAACACGGTCTGACCTTCATCCGCCGATCGCAGCTGCAGGGTTGCGTAGGACATCTTATCGTTACTACATTTGGGACACTTACGCGACACAATCGGACCTTCGGCTTCTTCCTCGGCCGGGCCCTGATGCTGATCGGATTTTTTGTTTTCGTACGAGTTGAAATGGATTGTATATTCTACCTCCATGGTTCCGAAAACTGGAAACGAAATCATACGGTTATGTTATCTGAGATTCCGAAGTACAGAACACTGGGAGGGCGGAACATACCTGCTTCATTATAGTTGTTGTGGCAGTTGTAACATGTCACGCTTCCTGTCATCCGAAGCAAGGGAAGTATGGAACCACAATCTGGGCAAAATCCTGGTGTAATCGATGAGTTGAAATCCATAGTATTATCCTGCCACACAGAATTGCACAGCTCCAAACGCAATCCGCGTGTTTTCACGATTTTCAGTGAGTTCTCGCGAATGTGAAGTGACGAGAAAATTTGTTTTGTGTGTAGCAAAACAAAAACAAAAAGTGAAACTGAACAAGATCTATACAAAAGAAACAATAACAAATTTATGGCTGCGTACACGAAAGATATAACCTAGAGTCGGTGTATAATGAGTCACGCCAAGAGAAAAACAGTTGAACTCGCATCATGGTTTTCGAAAGATTTCCTTTCTTTTCACTTGGCAACAGAGGACTGCTACATCAACTTCAAATGACTTCTAGCGAGCAAAAAAAATAGCGGCTGTTGTAAATCATTCTATCAGTGATTATATACCGACTCTAATATAACCTACACGGAGAAACGAAACAACTAAAAAATAATTATTTTGTACTCATCTAAATAGCAATTACCATCATCGCAGACAAAATTGAGATCCTTGCGAAGTATCAAATTTTTAGTATTTATTTTGCGAAGACTTAATTTTGAATCAAATGCAAGTATTTCATTTATAGTGAATATTGGGTTAACAAAATGTAAAACCAGGGTTTTACCAACAATCAATACGAAACTAACGATTTTAAATTTGCTCACCACTTTAGTAGCCTATTGGTCCCAAGCAAACGATTAACGTACCCTATTCTAGTTGAAATTCTATTACTGCACTATGTTTGTTTTGATTCGCTATGAAAGTTTGACAGATAACATCAGGGGTGTGTGGATTCATGCAGAACATGCAGGGGTGAGTGAAATAGCTTGGGACTGCTTGGGACCGTTGTTCTGGTACTGAGTGAGCCAAAAATAATAATGATTTTCTTCGGGACCCAGTGGTCTTAGAGTTACCTCTATGGTTTTACTACGTCCTTATCGGAGCCTCGCTTGCCAACCCTAATAAAAAATAACCATAAACGAACGATAACCCAAATCATCGAACCATTCCACAAATGGTTTGGATGATACCCAGAACACGTCGTTAAGCAAATTAACCATACAATTTTTATTAGGGAAAATGTGCAATGAAAAATGATCATTTTGATGTAAACAAACGGTTTGGTTGACGTTTCCTCTCGAACTCGCCTGGCGGCCTCTAATTGGTGATGCATTAAAAAAGCCTTTGGACGGAATCATCAGCAGGTGGAGGTCATTGCGCTCGTAAAATACCGTCTTGTCTGACTCAACAATTGGGTTGTTTAGGGGTATTGAGGTAAATACATATTCCTTATCTGCACTAAAAATGGAACCGAAATCCAAAATTTCATAAATTTAGGTACATTGGAACTATTTTAAATAAGTACGATTACATTAGAAAAAAATCACCATCTTAGCGCCCCTTGGAGGGACTTTGTATGGGAGTTAGCTGTCAACAAATAAATTTAGTGTCAACGATCAAAAATTTAAATCTTGATTTAAAAATCGAGATGAATGTCTACGGGATTGATAAAAAATATCGTTGTGCTGAGAAAACGATGCTCAATAAGATGATGTATAAAAATCGGTATATTTTTTGAAGTTAAGCAACCCAATTAATGGAGCAAGGATGACGAATACCACTTCACTGACATTTTTGGTCTGCATGGAGATCAAGGATAAAACTAAAGTTTAATTTACGTGTATTACCTTCATGTGAGGCCTCCCTTAGCTCAGTCGGTAAAGGCGCAGCTACAAAGCAAGACCATGCTGGAGGTGGCTGGGTTCAATTCCCGGTCCAGTCTAGGAATTTTTCGGGTTGAAAAATTTCTCGACTTCCCTGGGCATAGAAGTATGATTGGACTTGCCACACAATTATACAAATGCAAAAATGGTACAGGCATCGAAAGCTCTCAATTAATAACTGTGGAAGTGCACCTAGAACACTAAGTTGAGAGCACGCAATAAGCTAATATGCGATATGCAATAAGCTTGAGATGCGAAGAAGAAGAAGAAGACCTTCATGAGTGTACCTATTACAATATTCCGTACAGTTTGTTATAAATAGCTGCATATTTCGCAGCTTTTGGTAGACGAGAAAGCTAAAATAAACATGGCGCACATTACGATTTTCCATCCAAAATGAAGTGCAAACGCAACAATTTACTTTGGATACTTTCGTAGCGTGGAAATCAAAATCATCTCAAAATCGAGATAAAAAGTCCTGAATTGAAGAACTCTCTCAAGACTGCACTGATAAAACAGCAAATATTTTATTTATATGATTTAACACTTATCTTTTATAAATTACTAATAAATAATTGTTACTTGTGTGTGGGTCACAACCACTCATTAATGGGTATTTTTTTTTAATAAATAAATTATTTAAGGCACTTTTCATGAAAATGGGAGAAATTCTACTCATTAATGCATTGTTTTGTGATTCGAGATCGGAATAAAATACAAAATCTATTTAGAAACGAAAAAAATCCTTTGGTTTCCTCCCCCATGTATTGTAAGTATATTTCGATTCCATATTATATTTATATTATTATATTATTATATTATTCTATATACTATGGCACGCATAAACCATTTTTTTATATTGCGCATTTCACACCAAATTGGACTAATAAGCGCGTTTTCACTTATTAAAAAGTGTGATAAAACTGCAATTTTACCACAAACGAAGTGACAGACGACTAACTGGCGAAGAAATCCATTTAAATAATGTGGTTCACTGTAATAGAATTTTCTTGGAAGCTTGTGCCATCATCCACCAGATGGGTTAGTTTTTTTGTTTTGATTTGAACAAAGTTAATTTTGTGTACAATGATTCTTTGACAGTGTGCAAAGAGTGTATCATTTTGTCATTTTTTATGCATTTCAGTTTTGAGTAAGGTGAAAGAGATAGAACCAAAACATTCTAGTACATTTGGTGAAATGCTAGTTCGATCTAGTAGTAGTGTTGCCATGTGGTACAATCCAGTAGTAGTGGTGTTGCCATGTGGTACACTGAAAAATTGCAATAGCAGGTTAGTCACCAAAGTTTTCGAGCCGCAGCGTCTGTCACTTCGTTTGTGATTTTACGTCTAATCGTCTTGGTGTCTTCCGTGCACTTATTCCTTATGATGCAAGCAATAAGTGCTCCGAAGACATCAAAACGATTTGACGGAAACGTGCACTTTAATCACACTTTTTGCATTTTTGGGACAGTCCAGTTTCAGATGCAATCAGCAACTGCAATACAATACAAAGCAATACTAAAGGCCCAAGCGCAATGACAGCGGAAGCGGAACGGCAGCGGCAGCGGAAAAGCCCGATCTGAGAAAGCCTACTTGTCGGATTGAAAACTAGTTAGAACCAAATCGACTTCGGTTAGGCATCTTGATGTCATTTGTGACAACTGTCAAACTTTCCGTTTCCGTTCCGCTTCCGCCCATATTGCGTTTGGGCTTTAAAGTGATACTTTAAGGAAGCCTTAGCGTGAAACTGCTAAGCACAAATGTCAGCTTCCACAAAATATACAAACTTGAAATTGCTACTCATTGGTTGCTGAGCTACAACAAACAGAAAGTAGCAATTACAGCGCTGATAACTCTTTCCTCGACAATCGAACGCAAATTACCGGCATAATCGGATAGGGGAGTCTTTCCTCAACCCAAAGATAGTGTTAGTTTGCGTAGGTGAGCCTTGAATCACGAGAAAACGGTTTCCGAAGTTTTGTTTGCAATAGCTGATGTACTCTTTTCTGTTGTTGGTCGTGATTTGCTCGATTGGTTCCGCTATTTGGCAGCACAATTGGTTCCCGAGATTCTATCCGCCAAACTAAGAATATAGCGACTATAATCTTTAATGCAAAGAGATGGATTACGTCACTAATTGCGTTTACGTTGATTTTTTGGATTACCAATACAACCATATTTCACGATCTGCTTCACCTCTTTCTGTACTCATGTCTTGTCGACCTCACTTCGAACTTGACATTCCCATCTTTTTATGTACCTTGAATTGGCTGCGTCGTTTTTCTTACCGGTGCTTTTCACTTTTCCTTTGTCGTTTTCGCTCCTCGCTTCGGTAAATTTTGTTCTTTCGGTCGTCGGTCGCCAGGGTTGCCAAATTGAAATCAGTGTTTTCGTTAAAAAAAAATATCATTTCATCTTCATTTTTTTTACAGAAAATCTGTGATGATAATATCTGTATTGATCAAGGAATCAAAAATATATCAAATTGACAAAATGACAAGTGATCTACGAACAGAATGATAACGCTGTGTCAGAAATGGAAAGCAATAATGATATAATCTTTTTCCTTTTTTCATGGCAAACTACCCTTGCAATATAGCTCGCTCGGGCCAGTAGAAGGAAACAAACAAAATTTTAATATGTTTGCAAGCTGCTTCACGATGAAACGCCGAAGATGATACACGTGTGTTAATGGGAAGTTTTTGTCATGTCTTTTCTCGATTCCGATCAAGCTTTGTGCAGATTAGCGGAGTTCAAACTAAAAACTGTTCAGATTTTATGTCAGAAACGGTCAGAATACCGGGAGTACATGGTATTGAAACAAAGCAGGCAAGCAATATATCATTATCCTTTTACAACTGTAAACCATAGAGGTACAATAAATGGGGAAATCTACTATAGAACAATCTAATGTATCTTAACCGTGCAAAAAATCACTTTTTTCCTAGCTTTTTCCCTCGCTTTTTCCCGAACCAACTTGAGCCATTTACCATAAATTTTATTGTTTTTCTAATTCATACTATATGGGACGTATTGTGGATCTATTGCAATAACAGTATTTTAAATTTACTTGTTTGATCTTCATAAAATAAGCTCGATTGTTGGCAATAGATTTAGTTGTGATTTTATTTTATTTTATGGTTATGTCGAGGTTATTGTATGGTTATTTTTTCCGGGTATGCTATTAAAGCTGATTATCAGACGCTAATTTTTTTTTCTCTGAATTGGCAATGCATTGCAGAGAGAGTTTAGCGTGGTAGCAACAATCAACACGAAACCAACGATTTTAAATTGGCTCACTACTTGACTAGCCTATTGGTCCCAAGTAAATCGACTAACGTATCCCATTCTAGTATAAATTCCAGTACTACACTATGTTTGTTTGGGTTCGCTATGAAAGTTTGACAGATGAAATGAGGGGTTCGTGGATTTTCCGATGTTTCGAGGGGTGAATCGATTAGCTTGGGACCGAAGATAGTACCAGAGCTGAGCCAAAAAGTTGAGCACGTTTCTTCGGTCCTTCTGGTCTTAGAGTTACCTCTATGGTGGTAGTAGCAGCAACTTGATTAGCAAGCGTTTTGGCTTTATCTTTGGATGCTTTATGTGTTGTGTTTCTGGATTCGCTGGGATTGATAATTTATGAATTAAATCCAATAAAATATTTCTTAAACATTGTATAAAGGGTTTTTTATGAAACTATTTTTCCGATAAAAATAATACTTACATAAATATAAAAAAAAATCGAGAATTTTTTTTAATGAGATAGCTAAAGAGAATGCGTGTTTGGCAGTTTTCATACTCCAAGGCAAATAAAATAAATAGATAAAAGTGGCTGTTTCAAGAACTGTACTGAAGCGAATATAATTGTGTTTAGCATATTAACATACTTAAAACTTTCAACTCATGATTTGAAGAAAAAAAATTATAACCTGTATCAAACCTAAAAATATGCGAATCTGTCGAGGAATCTATGAATGGTTTGAAAGTTCTGAAAAATCTGTAGTTTTGGCAACCCTGAGTCGCTCGCTTGCCTCTTTGCCTCGGCGTTCTTTTCGCACTTCGGTTTTGACTTTCGTTCGGTGTGGATCGACGGCTAATCGACGGCGCGTGTGTTTTTCCGGGGCTTAAGTGATTTGGTGAAATTTTTCTTGTGGAAATTAATCGCTTTTTCGCGGTTAAAATAGTGAAAACTTGTAGTTTTGGTTTATCAGATCGAAACTTCAGCCTGATACGTGTGGATACCGATTGATTGAGAGGAAATTTTCTATTTCGCAAAAACAACCGCAATCATGAGTGAAAAGGAACACCAACAAAATGGCGATCACCAGAATGGACGTGACGATGATGTGAGTAGTTTATTCCGCGGTAGTAATTTTCTGAGGTTATAAATTTTTGGACTCTTGTTTTCGGCGTAGGGTGTTTATTCAATAATTATGTACGTAGAGGATTGATTTACGGTACGATGGAAACAGTTCCATCGGCTTCGTTTTTTTTTTTCGCGGCTCGTTGCCGCCATGTTGAAGCTTTCCCAATCGAATGACGCGTAGTATTTTTTTTCTTTCGGCTAAATGCGTTTTTTGGTTGCTACCGTTTCATCACTGGCGGCGGGTCGTCTATTTAGAGTTATTTTTACCAAGAGAAGTATTTTGTAAACGCTTACAACATCTCCTGTTCCCATTTCGAATTTCGTTGAGCGATTTTCGATTGTGTTCCATTTGATGCAATAGCAGGTGAAAGGCATTCTCCCTCCCACGTACGCGGCTTTTTTACCTGGAGACGATGAGACGAGATGACATCATTTTTTTTTTAGCGATGTCAACGTCCGCTGCTTCTTCCACTTTTACTGCTGTAACAAGAATGACTACTTCTTGATGACTCATTTCCACTCGCCACGGAAGTGGAAGAGAAAAAAGTAAAGAAGCGCTGGAATCATTGCTGAAGCTCTTCATACGTTGGTACTACTTCACATTTTATCGATCGGACGTGGCTTCCCCTTATTGCCGTTTTATTGCATCGATGGTTTACTTTCAACCGTCTGTGTACACATCAGTATGTCTGAGGGTGGTGGTCGCTTGACAGCCAAGTGGTTGTCTTTGAACTAAACGGGAGGGACGAGGTGGTTTCGTTTGATATCGAGCTTCACCGAGGAGGCATGTAATACGCAGGCCCCTTTTTTTTCCAAAGCTGCTGTGAACCGAAACTGGGACGCCAAAGGATATTTTTGATTTTGGGTGGTTGGTAATTCAATGCTCGTTAGCCTTTGAATTTGCCAGTATGTTACATGATATCCGGAGAACGTAGATGTAGGTAGAATGAAGGAAGCCTTTTCCTTGCACTTGGTGGGCTCACAATAATATAGAGGACGAATGGCGTTGGCGTCGGTTAGTTTGTTTTCCGTGCTGAGCACCAATGCTACGGACGCCAGGGAGGCAGCTCTAACACCTGGACCCTACCTATCGACCCATCAATTCATGAACCGGGGACCAACGGCTTTACTTCCCTTCCGAAGGAAGGCGTGGTCAGAGATGTTAAGCCTCAGAACATCCCGGCGGCGCTCTGCTTTGGGTGAGAGGTAATCACGCTTACGCTACCGCTGTGTTGCACCTGTCGTATAAGCTGATATTTGTGCACCTAAGTGGTTACGAGAATAAGGATGTCACAGCATTTGGTGTTAGGAAGATTAATTAAAATTCAGCGTAAAAGGTCTGACAAGAAGAGTTGCCAACAGACGGGAACATTAACTGTCCAATTGATATTGATTATACGTATAATTATGCATATCTAAGACCTAAGTACTTTGTAAAATCTTTGAAACCCGGTAGCTTTAGTATTTGTCCATACATCGAGAAAAAATTCATGGCGCTGAAGAACCTTAAGTTCTTTTCTAAATCCATTAAGTGTTGTCCCGACACGAATGCCACGATGATGGTAAAGTGTCGTTAGTAAATAATAATAATTACATGTTGTGGCGTCTCCTTAACCTCAATCTACCTGTGCACCAACTCTAAAAACATTATCAATTATCAAAATATTGCTTGCAATGGATAGGTATCGAGTAAGCTAGAAGATTAAGTGTATTTTTCAACCGGTTCGAGTATGAATATGGCATTAAATCTGGTTTTGAAAGTTGGTGCACAGGTAAAAAGTAAGGTTACGCGACGCCACTGCATGTTAGTTTTGTAATTTTGTGTGGACATCCAGATATAAAAGATGTGTCCAAGAATTCAGGGCAGGTAGCGGGACACTTTTTCCAAGTCAGTAACTAAAAGGTGTCCTTTTTTAAGGCCAAATCGCCAAAGTTACATTTTCAAGACTGATCATTCTTCTTGCAGTGTGTAGGACCTGATAGACCAATCGATGCCTACATTTGGTTCTGTTAAGTTGTTCTTTATTTAAGACATTTTTCATCCAGCTGATGCATTCGTGTCTGTTTCAGTGTAAAAGTTTGCTTGCTTTCTTCAATCTCTTTTCTCTTCTTTACACCTCCTTCGTAATTTCCTTGCTTTTCTTCATCAGCATCTTGGTCTTTTTTCAATGATTTTCGTTAAGTTACATTTCTTTTGCTTGGCCTTCTTCTGTTTCCTCTCCATCATCTTCTCAGTTTCTACATTTTCTTTTGCCGTCTTGTCAGCTTTCTTATTCTGTTATTCTTTTCATCGTCTTCCGTCTTCTCCACCACGTTTCATCCGTTCCGTCTTCTTCTGTTTCCTCTTCAACTTCCTGTTTTTTTCTTTAGATTCTTCGATACATATTGACTTCCTGCAAAAACTTCAGCAACTGCTTTTCCTTATCATCGTCGTTGCATAACGCCGCATGTAGGCTGGTTTAATCAATATCGTATTTCACTCTGGCTGTTTCAAACTTCTTGTAGTACAAAATGTGTAAGCCTTGTATGACCGATGCGCAGTTGAGTGAGCACTCGCTGGTCAGTCACTTTTTGGTTTCGCGTTTAATCTCGCTGGGCGCAAGTAACGGAACTCAAGTTAACGGAAAAACGCTGGGCGCAAGTAACGGAACTCAAGTTGACTTCCGTTACTTGTGCCCAGCGTTCTTCCCATAGCAGACGAATGGTATGGTTCATTGATGGCATTCTTCCTCGGGATGGCGACGTTGAGTGGCGCACTGACACCGGCGAGTCGATCTGCTTCTTCGTTGCCTCAGATACCGGCGTGGCCGGGAATCCAACGAAGTTGTATCGGGCGGTTTCTTAAAAGTCCTTCGATATCTTGGATCCAGGGGTGCTGTGATTTGCCGCTTTCTATGGCGAAAAGACAACTTTCCGAGTCAGACAGGATGACCAATTCGTTCGATATACCCGTGTTGAGAGCCGGTTTGATAGCAAAGGCCTCCACTCAAAAGACGTTACACTGTGACGGGAGGCCTATTGCTCTATGCAGACTGCCACAGAATACCCCTGCACCCAGCTTTGTAAGTGTCACCGTAGTCGACATATTTTCTGCCTTTGCGTCCGACACTTGCAAAACAAGCTATCAAATTACAGTACCAAACTAAATGTCATATGACAGGCTCTGTCATACGACACTGTTGCCGGTATAACACCCCGATGAGCTTAAAGAAGTTCCAGCAATTTCAGAAACATTTCGAAAATTTAAAAGAAGATTATAGAACTTCAGGAATTTTCATGAACAGTAGCAAAATGTGGGAGCATTTCAAAGAAGTTTAGTAAACTTGAAATATAGGGGGTATTTCAGAGTTCAGTTCCATTAGGTTCAGAAAATAGCGGGAAATTTTAAGATGTTCTCAGATTTTCAGACCACAACGTAGGGTCCTAACCACTAGACGATCACGGCTATAGAGGATTGGTGATCGAAGAGTAATTGATTCGCCTAGATATTCTGCACTTTTAAGGTCATATGGACTAACGAAACAAAGATGGCTAATACATGCTATTTATGAGCGCTTATTGGGTTTACAAGGTATACATAGGTTGTATTTCAGTCAGTAAACTAAAATGGTATTTAGGATATGAAGCTTCCCTGTTTACCTTTTGGTTTGTTATTTTTTTGCATGAAGTCTATTTTTAACATTGCCACAGACAAACAGACATAACTCTCACAATCACATTCTTCACAAATAAGGTTTTAATTGAAAATGTGCTCGCATTTTTCATGGTGGCGCCACTGGAGCGTTTGTCAACCCACCATATGTCGATCTTATCAGTGATGTTAGTTCTTTTTCAGGGCAATTTTGTAGATGTCAGCTCTTGAAAATTATAAGGGAGAAAGAAATAGATGTTGAATATCACATCCAAACAGCAGCACATTGGTTGTTTCGCTTGTTGTGTAATATTACACTGTACGATGTACACAGAATTTTAAAACAAATAATTTTGATGAGTATAATATTGTACATCTCCACTTTTACCAATATGATCAATACATCATCATGAATAACATATACATATTATATTTATTTGCTGTGTACACATTAAAGTGATGAGCGGTGTTATAATTTGGGTGCTGATTAGCAGGGCAGCAGAAGCAGAAGAATTATGTCTGCTTGTCTGTGACATTGCTATAAAAGAGCATTGCATTTGATATTACGAAAGCTCATTGGCGCACCATTTAACGGTAGCTTTTGATTTCCATTTCATCGTGTTGCGTTCAGTTGTGAAATACAAACCGTAGGGTAAACGCTCCTACAGTTGCGGTACGTTAGAAGCGTTAGGTTCCTATAGTTGTGTACTCCATAGACAACTATAGGAACCTAACGCTTCTAACGTATGGCAACTGCGCAATTTTGTTAAAAAATCTAACATCTCCGTGACAATGACTGCTGGAGTCATTGCCGTGACCAGGATTCGAACCTGGGTTACTCCGGCCACAACGTAGGGTCCTAACCACTCGACGATCACGGCTATAGAGGATTAGTAATTGAATAGCAATCGTATGGTGTAGATATTCTGCACTTTCAAGGTTAAATAAAATAATCTGGCATAATGTATTGCCACAGTCAGTTGGGAATGTAAAATTCGAGTTGGGAGGATGTTTTAGTCAAATAAGAAGAAGAATATTTGATACAAATGTGAAAACTAATTGGCGCACCATTCAACGGTAACTTTGATTTTCTTTTATCACTATGTTGCTTTAGGTTGTGAAATACAAGTCACAGTAGGTATTAGGACCGATGCAATCTACGTTTCTTGTTAAAAAAGTATAACCTCTCCGTGACAATGACTACTGGAGACATTGCCGTGACCAGGATTCGAACCTGGGTTACTACGGCCACAACGTAGGGTCCTAACCACTAGACGATCACGGCTATAGAGGATTAGTAATTGAATAGCAATCGAATCGTGTAGATATTCTACACTTTCAAGGTCAAA